GATTGCTGTGGTGAACGAGGAGGTCACATTTGGGGGAGGAGCCCAGGGTTGGGGCAGCAGGGGGTGCAGGTGGGGGGGGGGAGAGAGAGCCCAGGGCTGGGGCAGCAGCAGGTGGGGGAGGGTACGGGTGAGGGGGGAGAGCCCAGGGCTGGGGTGGGGGGCAACCAAAAAATTTTTTGCTTGGGGCAGCAAAATACCTAGAGCCGGCCCTGGGCAGATGGCTCTGTGGGCTGTCCTGCACTCACCTGCAGGCACCGCCCCTCGTAGCTCCCATTGGCCAGGAATCACAGTCCATGATTGCTGTGGGGGCGGCGCCTGCAAGTGAAGGAAGCACGCAGACTGAGCTTCCCGGCACTCGCAGCTCCAGCCCAGCAGGAGGGGAGGGACGGAGGAATGGCATGCCAGCATGCAGAGCCGCCCCCCCTCAACATCAGGCTGTAGGGTTACCATACGTCCAGATTTCCCCGGACATGTCCGGCTTTTTGGTCCCCAAATCCCCGTCCGGGGGGAATTGCCAAAAAGCCGGACGTGTCCGGGGAAATAGGGAGGCTATGATCCCCGAATCCGTGTGTGTGGGTCGCCCGCTGTGACATCATCTCGGTGCGACACTCGGCTCCTGCCCAGGGCATGCTGGGGGCTGTAGTCCGGCCGGGCCTCACGCTCCAGGGAGAGCCGGGAGAGGGGAGCGGCCGAGAACTACAACTCCCAGCGGCCCCTGCGACGCGACCAACCTGCCCCTGTGAGGCAGCAAGCCGTCAGGGGAGGAGGGGGCGCGGGCCCCTGTCCTTTGGGTGGGGGGTGTCTCTGGGCACTGCTCGGCAGCCATCGCAGGGCTGGGGGGCACCCCAGGAGGGGTTGTGGATGCCAGCACGTTGCGGGGAGCCGGCACTGTCCGGATTTGCATCCCCCTGGGGCTGGAGCTGCGCCCCCGGCCCCGGGCACCAGTCACGTAGGGTTACCATACGTCCGGTTTTTCGGCAATCAAACCCCCGTCCGGGGGGAACTGCCAAAAAGCTGAACATGTCCGGGAAAAATACCGGACGGGCACTTCCCCTCCCGCGGCTGCTCTGCTCCTCCCCTGACTCAGACTTCGGCTCTGTTTAAGAGCCAAAGCTGCCCGAGCCAGCGCTACCGGCTTCGGGCAGCCCCCGTGCCTCCGGACCCCGAGCCGCCGGCCGGGCACTTCCCTTCCCGGGCTCCAGCTGCTCTGCTCTGGCGGCTGGGGTCCGGAGGCAAGGGGGCTGCCTGAAGCCGGTAACGCTGGCTCGGGCAGCTTGGCTCTTAAACAGAGCCAAAGAGTCAGGGGAGGAGCAGAGCAGCTGGAGCCCGGGAGGGGAAGTGCCCAGCCAGGGGCGCAGGGTCCGGAGGCATAGGGGCTGCCCGAAGCCTGAGCGCTACCGGCTTCACGGGTTTGCCGGGCAGGCTCCAGACCCTGCGCCCCCGGCTGGGCGCTTCCCCTCCCGGACTCCAGCTGTGCTGGGGAAGCGCCAGCCGGGGGTGCAGGGTCTGGAGGCTGCCCGGCAAACCGTGAAGCCGGTAGCGCTTGGGCAGCCCTTTTCGCGTGGCTGGGAGGGAGGAGGGGGAGTTAGGGCGGGGACTTTGGGGAATGGGCGGAGTAGGGGTGGACTTGGGGCGGGGCCAGGGCCCCATGGAGTGTCCTCTTTTTTTATTTTTTAAATATGGTAACCCTAGGAGAAAGGAACCATGGAACAGCAACGTAACGTCACAGTCCCATT